TATATATATATATTATATATATATATATATATATATATATATATATATATATATATATATATATAAGATGACGTACAAAAAATTATCATAGCATACACAACACTGTGTTATAATTACATTTATTTTAAGTCCAGTCATAAACTCTATTTATTTAAAAATTAAACAGACAAGGACAGATCAGACCGAAAACGATTGAGTACAAATTTTACATTATCATATAATAATATAATAATATTATAACCATGTTTCGTATATTTACTAAATATCCTTTATCTTGAACGTTACATAAGCTCTTATGTTTGTATTGTAAGCATCAACATCTTATAGTTTACGTGTTAATATAATTATAAATATTATAGTCTGTGTAATTACCAAAATGTGTTACTTTTAATCATCATTTAAAAAGATATATCGAATTGCACTAATACAACAGTAGTTATCCGTAAATAAGAAATGCAAATTAGTTCAAATAAATTATTAAGTATAGAAATAACTGAAACGTTTGGTAAATACAATTTCAATTGATGTTATTGCTAATAGTTCCAATTCAACTATTAGCACAAAAGAAAAACAAAAGGAATAAATGGTAGGCCTAGTGGGAAGTGACTCAGCTGAAGGAGAAATATCAGTAATTTGAAAGAAAAACAGAGCTGATAGCTGCATGTACACTTGATTGCGTAACGCCTATGAACACTTACTGGCTAAATTCAGGGGCCCGACCCTTATAGGCCCCAGGGTATTAATCCGCATGATCTTTTTTGCCAGGACCACGGAACCCAATCAACCAAACAGAGCCCGTTAAGGAGCAAACAATGTGAAAACTTAAATATACGCTATTTCGATCGTGCTTTCCCCTTACCACAACTGGCCCTGCGTGGTCCCTGAGTCCAAACGGTAATACCCGACGAAACCTTAGCCATGGACCGCTTACCCCTTAGTTAAGCCTCTGCCAGGAAGCAAGTCTACATCATATGTCACCAAGGAACCAAGAATCAATAACGATTTCTAAATTCAGCAAGATTGTTGGTGCTCTTTACTCTTATGAAAGGCAGCAACATTCCTTGAGAAATCAAATTTATAACAATCCTCTAATTACTCCAAAACCACAACAAATACATTTTCGATTTAAATTTCATCAGTGTCTATGGTCTCAAGCATTTCGAAACAAAATTTTAACACAATCTTCACTCAGTGCTTTTATTGTCGCATGGCGGCCCCGTCCCAGATTTTTCTCAAGATCTGCCTCCAGTTATATTCTTAAGTACGTACCAATCTAACATTTAAATAATAGACTCTATTAACACTACGAAAGTTCAAAACGGATATAAATTTACTTTCCGCATAATAATTGTAGAATCCGACTTAAATCTGGATCACTTTTTCTTCGATTGGTCTAATGAGTTTGAAAATGCCAATACAAATATGATTAGGTAACCAAATTGACTGACTGTGAATAAAGTGTCACTTCGGAACCACGAATTATGCTGCTCTGAAATATTGTAAGGCCAAGCTGAATAAAATTACCATTCTTCTTTATAGTCTAATCGATTATCAGAAATATTAGTAGGCCTACAGTACACATTGTTTTGATCGATATTAACTTTATTTTAAGCATTTACATATATTCAGTAATAGGCTTACTATGATGGGTAATCATTGTTTTAGAGCGGGTGGATTTTTAAGGTGAGTAGAGATGCAGCTGGCAAGGGCCCCATACATTAAAAAAAGTGCTAGTAAAAGGGGCACCGTGGCATTACCGCGGGCTCACTTCGACTTGGAACTGGGCGTTTCCCAAAGAGCACAGGTGTTACATATCTGGTCGAAGCTCCACAGTAAAATGAGGGTCGTAGTATGGGGGCCCTTCCAATAAATATGCCATAGAGTGTGTTTGTGGGATTTAGGTGCATTTGGGTTTTTTTTTTAATTGTAGACAAATCACCATATTGTCGAGAAGCTTTAGTGGAGTGCTGGGTAGAAGTAGGGGTCCCTGGCCTGTCTGGAGCCTATTTGGGCTGGTACAGAGTCCTAGAAAGCACATGCATTACGCCACTGTTAAGGCTGGTAGTAAAGTGGTAGGTGGTAGAAGTAGGAGGGTTTGAAGCCCCTTTTGAGTTGGGGCCCAGGGCTGCACCCCTCCCCCGAGAGCTCACGGGTATTATGCCATTTGAAATGAGGGTCCTTTACCTCATTATTAAAGTAACTCGCGGATGAATAAATCAGGAATACGAAATGAATAGCATAAGAATTATTGACCGTGGAAAATGTACCATGTAAGAATAATGTATCTAATACCGGGGAGGATCCAGGAAAAAAATATGGGTAGGAGGCGTGTGACGTGCGAAGCACCGAGCGGAGGAAGGGCGGTGGATTTTGTGTTTAAATGCTCAACCATAGACACTGGTACATGGGATTTAATTCGTGTACTTTAGACCTGCTATTTTAGGACCCTAAATAGAAAAACAAAGACTCAAAAATCATAGGCCTGTGTCTTAAACAAAAAGAGGAAAGATTAAGATTAACTGTGATTAGTGTAAGAACCACTACGTGGTTGTGCAGCAAAATGGCAAGATCACGCATTATATATAACATGAACTACTGCAACAAGGCATGCTATTAAATTTAGTGTGGATACTCCATTTCCGCCGGTACCACTACTCGCCATGAGACCACCGTACCTTTCTCTTGATCCGTTGTTTGGTGCTGGATGTAGGTTCAGTATTTCACACATCATCGGGTATATATCGACCTAATAAAGAAGCCAGCAAATTCTTATGAAAACATATATTTCAGTATAAAAACAATTTAAACTAGAATTACTACTTTACACAAAACTTTAGGCCAAGGCCTACATTTTTTGGTGTGATATCACACCAATATATCCCACTAAGTCCAAACAAAAAGTTTCCAGTAGGGTCTCCTTGTGGATAGTTGGACAGAAAACAGGGATACTGTTCCCCTACAATCTTCCGAAGAATGTACTGCGTGCTTTAACTAGGGGTGGCTCCAGAATTCGCCAGGTGGGGTGGGGGGGTGCTGGCAAAATCCCCGACGAGAAAAAGTGGGCGTGGTCGGGCGTCGCTCGAAATCTGGCCATTTATAGATTTCAAATGCTTATTCAATCGATTTTAGAGGCTTCTAATATGTAAAAAATACATATAAATTTTTCTCCTACTAATTGTGATTTTTCTTTCCGACGATGAGGGTGGCGGCGGTCTCCCTCACGCGGGGTGTTCCCCACTCCTGTTGTTAACGTGCAAATGGGCCATAACGAATATCGGACCAACGGCTTAACGTCTCATTCGAAAAAAGGTGCGCTACCGTAACTCGTTTCAGGGATGGGAATTGAACCAGGGACCTCAAGATCTCTATTGTTCAGAGCACACACATTGGCTACCACCAGTTAAGCCGACTGAGTAAATTGATTTGAATTTAATTCTTATTGAAAGTATATTTTCCAGCTGTATATAAAAAAGCGTCTATAGCGGGATTCGAGCCTGCAACGTTTCGCTTTCATGGCGAGCATTATGTCTTACCTCAAGATAACTTACTGACTTTTACTCTTATAGAAGACTAGCTGCCATACCATAGTAAATAATATTATTCATATAAGGCATATCAAGCTGCAAAGCATTGTAAACGCAATATCACCCAATACATAAATGAAACCTGATGAAGAGTTGTAACTGTTGTTTACATTAAATTTTAGCATATTCTTACTGGTGTTCCTATTGTTTCATTTTATTATTTTTGCCGATACAGCGATAAATTTTCCTGTACTTTTCCCCCGCTAATTTTCTCTTACCCTACCTAGGCTATATAGACATATACATATAACATTACTCTCCGTTTTGTTGTTTTGTCTCTGAAGAAATTTATTTCACGTTTGTCTTATTATTGACATGAAATTCTCCTGATGTTGACTACTGTATTTTGAAGCATAGATTTTATCAAAATCTATCTATATGTATACGAATATACACATACATAAATATTTATATAATCTACCAGTAATATATAGAGTCGACTAATACAAGTAATATATGTGCTACTTTGTAACAGTAGAGGACTGACATGTTACTGTATTTCAATAGATAGATTATCAATTTGAATGTTTGCGTGTTTAGGTAATCCTTATCACGTTATTGTGCTTACCCCAAAGATAGGTGGCGAATTGTAGTTCTTTCTGAACTTCGGTCCCATGGCGTAAAATATTGGTCTCATTGATTGCTCTCGATTGTCAAATCCGTGATCACCGACAACAGAGTTAAATCCAAGCCATTGCTGTGTATGTCAACAAACCAATCATATTACATTATAATTTGTCTTTTCGGAAATGATTATAATTTATACTTCTTATGATAGAATAAATAAACCCAAGTGTAAAATACATCTAGTATTTCAAATACAGTTTGCCCTAATGAACATGCAAACTTTTCGTCAAGGGATTATATATTTCAAAAAATATTTTTTTTTATCTTTAAATGAATCAATAATCACACATTATTCATTTCTGTCAAAGTTACTGGAGGTTTTGGATTTATTTATGACCCTCATTATAATAGTGTAATTCCGTTGATTTTTAATACCAGCAATATTAATGGTCGCCTTTTGTGAGTTGTATTTCACTATCAAATCTTACGGTATGAACATGCCAGGTTGGGTCAACGTAGCCAACAATTGGAAGAATACGGTCATTGTTTGAATAGTGGAAATACTCTGGTAAGTCTTTCTTCCAGTGAACGTGCATATGCGGATGAGCATTCTTCAAAGAACTGTACACCTTTAGAAAAATCAGTAATGATATTTTTAAAATAGAATAACGTTATTTTTACTATTCTGATGTTTGACATATGGGTTCTCTTTGACCAAGTTTGATGAGAGATCCAAGCACGGAAAGTGAACAAAGTGCGGGTAGAGAAACCTTATAGAGAAGCAATGTAGAAAAGTCAATCTCCTCTCATACTTACCCTATGGCAAACAAGTACATAAACTACACCCATGGAAAGTATTTAAAAAATTAAGTAAAATGAAACAAAACATGTCCAGCGAACCTGGAGTCTTTAAAATATTTGCCAGTCCTTACTTAACTGACATACTCAACTGCTCTTTTTCCAAATGCATTGTACTGTACAATAGAAGAAGCAGTTGTAGTACCATTAACTAAGAAAGTCCCTCCAACTGAGACCAATTTTCATTAAATCAATATTTTGTTGCTAAGGAATTGCTGAGGAGTTTATTTCAGATGGATTATTTTTTTAATATTTACATGAAAGTAGATACTAGTTTCTAGTTTCTAGTTTGGAAAGCTTAAAGTCAGGCTCCGGAGGAAAAAAAGTTTTTGGTATGTTGTAGAACTGATTTTTCTAAGACAGAAAAAAGTTGTTTGACGAAAAACTGGGGAACGGTGAATGAGATACAGATTTTTTAATATTTAAAAACTGGGGGAAAAAGGGGCGTAACTGCCCATTTTTACACCTTATTCCCCCAGATCTTTCTCTTTAAAAAAAAAAAACAATGTGTGCAATCAGGGAACAGTGAAATTTCACTGTTCCCTGGTACAATGTTATATAATTGTCTGAGTGTATTATTAACTTGAAAGTTGGGTCCATGTTCCAAATTATGATTGGTGCTGCCTCAAATTTCAGGTGTGTAAATATGTAGATGATCTTACCTGATATGAGAATTGGATTTGGACAATAATTCTACTGTTGGTGTAGCGAAAGTATTTCGTGCTTAACCATAAAATTGTCTAACGCATATAGTTTTGTTTTAGTATTTCCCATCCACTCTGTCTTCATATAAAGTAGGACCAAAGTACTAGGTGTGTGGTTGCAGGACAACCTCAAATGTATATAAAATATGTTGATATTTATGCTACTAAGAAGATACTTCTTTTGATATCGTTGATTTGGATTTAATGGATGCTCTTAACATGATTTAATGTGAATACATCAAAATAATTATGTGGATGTGAAAACAATCCAAGTTTGAAATGGGATAAAACCAAACATTATAAGAAAAAATGAGTCTATTTTGCCACGTGGCTGAAAAGACAAAATATGAACCTGAGTTACGAAACTGGAAGCAATTTGTTACAAGATATCAAGTTGTTTTATTACGTTGTTCTAACAGTATGAGCGTACAAGATGATAAAGAAGATGTCAAGGTCGTAAGTGATAAATTAAATATAAAAAATTGCATGATGTTATTACACTATTTCGAAACACGTACCTGATCCATTTTATCTTCTTTTGGTAGTATTTGAAATGTAGGACCGTAGTTAGCCATCATAAAGTCTGTATCATCACGACTAATGTAACTATTAAGTTCAATAAAGTTTTTATAAACGTAATTGAGAAAACCATGGTCAGCAGTGACGATGACATTTACAGTGTCCATCATGTTCTCTTCTTTTAGCCTTTCGATCATGTGTCTCAGGAGATCGTCCATTAGTTCTAAACTATTAATAGCTGGTCGAGAGCCGACTCCAAATTTGTGTAATTTATCGTCTGGCTCCCCAAAATATGTCATCACTATGTCGAGATCCTCGTCTTTTAACCAACTTATGGCTGTGTCCATTTTATTGGTGAATGAATATTCCTCCGAGGAGTTGACGAGTGTCGGCCGAATTCCCTTTATAGCAACATCACCACCTGGGTATCGCATTGTCCCAGCAGTCAAACCTGCGACAGGCAAGAGGTAGTATTACTGATATTGTACAAGAATATAAGATTTAATGCATTATTGTTCTATTTATGCAATAGGGCCTACTAGGAAGGAATGCTCATCACTGAGCACATGATGTTGCACATTGGTATTATTGCAAATCATTCTAATGATCTTGAGAAAATAGGGTGGAAGTGGAGGTATACAGCTCGTGAGAAACAATCCTGCAACACTGACAGTAATTGAACCCAGGACCCTGGGATTTGAAGGCAAGTATCTTAACCACCAAACTATTTTACTCCGTAATTGTACTTTCCTACTTTTCAACGTCAGCAAACTATAACAAACGTTTCATAATCATATTATTCAACTATAGGCACATTGGTCGTATACAAATAGATCTATTATAATATGACCTAAATATTAAAAAAAACATATTTGTTCTACATAGACATAGGTAACATAATATTTCAAATACCAATCTCAGAACATTATTTACTCTACCTTGCTTAATCGCTGTGACCCAAATTGGCTCAGCTCCTGTGTCAAACCATTCCTGGACCTTCAGTGAAGCAGAATAGGTCAGAGTTCGATTACCACTTACCGGGTCAAAGGCCAAGTTATGAATAGCGCCGTGGCTCTCAGCATACAACCCTGAAAAAATGAAGAATAATGAATATCAATAATATTTGTTGTAGAAAATAGGATGCGATGAATGCTCTTTGGTGATTGTAAATTTATTGTGGTAAAATTACTAAAATAAAATGTACAGTTTACCATTGCAGTATCCTGTTAAAGCAAGGCTGCAAATGGAAAATTGGTAGGAAAAGGTGGAAACAATTTTTCGTCAAACACCCATTTTGGTTCTCAGTTTTGGAAATCTGATCATATTTTGTTTAAAGTCGCATCCTCCATTGTACGATTATACTGTATCTTTTCAACATTTCTTATTAGTTCAATTGTGACTACCTGTGTTAAGTTTATGTCACATTTAAACCTTTAAATGCTATACCTTCATTAGTGTTATGTTACGAATATATTATCTATATTTTTCAAAAATACGTTTGTCAATGATGCATAGTGTTCTAAATTAGTGTTAGGCCTGTATCTCCATTTCTACATAATAAAGTTTCTAATTAATAAGTACTATGTTAATCTTGCTTTATGACATGTTACAACTCTACATATATATTTACATCTTTTTTCTAGCTCTCCTCCGACCCCTGCTTCAGAATATCACACTAGACCTATATATTTTCTTCTACAAACTTTTTTCTCTTCAATTGCAATCTATCCACCCTTTACATTCTCATCCCTCCATCCTTGTTATAATCACAGACACCTTAGGTTATTAATTTTTCTCGTTCTCATGCACAACAAGAACATCGTTACGCTCGTCATGATGTATAATAAAAAGCATGTATAAAACTTGTGTATTTTCCTTAATAAAACAAAAACAAAGCCAACGACATTTATTTTCTTCACCTTTATTCCTTGCTCTCCCGATAATTCGTTCCTTCCTTTCCGCCCACAATATTTTCTCATATCTCCTTTTCCCTCCCAATCTCCCTTTCTGTCAATTTTATTCCAACTCTTATTCCTATTTCCCTCTCCTATCCTTTCATTTGTTATACCTGTTGCTATTGTATACATATTCGGTAGTGACATCGTCGGAAACACTGGAATGAGGTATTCAGCTTTGACGCCCATTTCGGCAATGTAATTAAATGTCGGCAGGTCCTCACCAAACAGATCCCATCGCATTCCATCTGATAGCACGAGAAGGATCTTATCCTACGATATATAACAGTAAACAATGATATTAGGAATACACACATACGCACCCACACCCATCTAGATGTGTATAAGAGACAGATGTGATGGGTGCACGTATGTTCCAGATTATATAGTTGAACAGCATAAGTAAACAAATGAAATTCAAAGTTGACGTATAACGAAACATATAACTTCTATTTATCACGAATATTTCGGTCGCACCCGCGAACTTCCTCACTGGCACTATGATATATAACTATGACAGAAACAATAGAAAGCGGTGATATAGCATACAATCTGTGAGGCTATACAATAGCAATGCATCAAATAAAGGCAAGCGGCGATTATGATATGAAACAATATAATATTATCAGAAAGGTCGCATCATAATAGGTTGGACCTATACAAAGTGTCATCGGCTCATCAATAATACTCAAAATTAAAAGCAGTTTAATGGATCTCTGATTAATAAATGTGTATCCCCAAGTATGCCAAGATCTCTGTTTAACTGGTTTATATGTGTATTAAGACAAGTACCCAGCAAATCTCGGCGCAATTCGCTGGGCTTTGGTACAAGAGTATTGCCTATAATATTATGAAGCGCAGTTCGTGGATGGTATGGCCTGGAGTGTTTAAATCTTGTCTGACACTTGAAAGTTGGTTGTTACCGCTGCGACGTCTTGGCTTGTCGTAGGTGTTGTTGGTAGTGCGAATGGACAAGACGCAGTCACGACAAACGACGACAACGTTACGCCACTCACACGATGCCGCTGCGGTAGACCAAGATCTTTTTCACGGCTACGATTGAGCACAAATTTTTTGAACATTCCAAAAAAAAACCGTGCTCCATCATGATGACATCAAGATCCAATACGATGCAATACGATGAATTATTTTTGACTACGACATTTACGACGACGCTATTGCGATTTTTCAAAATTGAAAAATCGTGCTCTGTCGTAGCAAAATCGTGAATGTGGGAAAGGGGCATTACGTCTAACAGCACTCTAATGATTGTTCATTCGAATGTTGCCTCCAGTCTCACCAATGTAATTGCCATGGTTACATTACTATAGATCATATATAACATTATCTGCATTACAGTTCAGTGGGGGAACAGAAATAGAGTGATTAGTAGCAGGTATATTATAAAGGGTGTGCGTAGTTATAATGTCACATAATTGGCATATGGCATTGCCACAAGTTGTATTACCAAATTCTCTGGCGGTGTTGTGAGTAGGTAGTCTGGATGAAGTTAACAAGGATTTCAGGCTCGGGGCTCGACGTTGAGCGAGAACAGGTGGATTGACAAATAGTTGCTTGATGGAGTATCCTGGTAGTCTCGTTTGATTGTGTTGCTGAGATGCGAAATCCGAGGGTTAAAATTAAATACTAGCGGGCTACGTCTAAATTCTGTTTCTTGTTATATGTAAGGAGGGTCTCCTGAGGTTTCCTGACATTTTAAATAGTAAATAAATAGAGGTTAATAATGGAGGTTGAAGGTCAAAGTCAGGAAAGAAGGAAATCCATTTTCAAAATGATCAATTTTGCCTATTTTTTTTTCACAGAAATTCTTCTTACGTATGGCAAGCAGCATAAATAGAAAGAAAAAACAGAAATTGTTAATATGACGTTGTCAATAATTTTTAATATATATTTATTTAATTTAAAGGGTCAAAGCTCATGAATAAAATTTCAAATTTTCTAAATGATCCACAAAAGTATAATTAGTTTTAAAATTTATGTCTTACTAAATTGTAAATATGCCTTAATATAATTAGCCGGTTAATAGGTAAAATTCAAGAAATATGTCATATTTAGAAAATAATATTTAAAAGGCAAAATTCCACAGGATAGTCGTCATAACATTGTAACTAGGCCTATAGTTTAAATTAACTTGGGCTTATATTTTATATGGATAAATCTTACTATAATAAAAATATATTTGTATGACCTAATTAAGTTACTCAAATACAGCGGCAGGATATAAAAAGGGGTGCTAATATGTTTTAGAGTAAATAAATGCCTAGTTACACTACAACGATAACGATTAACAATAAACAAATGTTTATACTATGACGATTTTACCGTTTTTTCATGACTATTATGTTATTTGATTAGATTTGTGAAAATATTTGTATCGTTTACACGATAAATAATTACTGAATCGTACTAGTAAGAAACGTCTTGTATTTATCTTTGTTATAGGAATAATTGGGGTGTTTTTTTTTTGGAGGGGGGTGTTTAGCTTTATATTGTTGATGGCTATTGTCAAAGTATAAACCTTAACGCATCCCCATGTGGTCTGGGTTCGTTTAATCAAGTCTTAAAGCGTACATTATGTTCAACATGCCATTTTCCCTATTTCTGTTAATAATAATAATAATAATAATAATAATAATAATAATAATAATAATAATAATAATAATAATAATAATAATAATAATAATAATAATAATAATAATAATAATAATAATAATAAGAATAATAATAAGAATAATATATTTATATAGCACATAATGCCGGAGCTTCTATGCGCTTCACATAAACAGAAAAATAGAAAAAAAACAAACTAAAACACGAAATAACCTAAAACTAACCAAGACCGCCAAGAAAGTGAAAAACCATCACGCACCGTTTACCGGCAATTTAAGGTGCAAGACCGGTCAGTACATTATTCACAGCATGCCATAATGGTGTGGTTATCTAGCTGCCTATGACAAAAACTAAAAATAAAAAATTAGAGTGCACCAAAAAGGTGCGTCTTCAAAGCACACTTAAAGGAAGAAACTGTTGCAGAGGATCTAATATCGCAAGGTAGCGTGTTCCAAAGTTGTGCCGAAACAACAGAGAAACTTTTATCACCATATGTAGATGTTGATGATCTCAGAGTTTGCAGTCTGAGTTGAGATGATGATCTAAGACTGCGAACTGAGTGGTGAGGGTTGACCAGTTGTGTAATGTAAGCAGGAGTTGTTGATTGAAGAACTTTGAAAGTGGTGAGCAGTATCTTGAAGATAAGCCTTTTCTCAATGGGCAGCCAGTGAAGGTCATTGAGGATTGGGGTTATGTGAGCAAATGGTTTACTGCGTGTTACAATGCGAGCTGCTGTGTTCTGTATCCGCTGTAGTTTAGCAATTTCAGACCTGGGTAATCCATACAAGAGACTGTTACACCAATCCAGGTGTGAGGTAATGAAGACATGTACCATTCTGACTGTTGTTCTTCTATCAAGGTACTTTCTAATGCTGCCTATTTTCCTGATTCCTGAATATGATGCTTTACAGATGTTTTTAATGTGCTGCTTAAATTGCATTGATGAATCGAATACAGCACCCAGGTTCCTGACTTCTGCCTTGACATCAATAGCAGTAGAACCAATCGTAGCAGTGCTTATGGGGTTATAGTTTGAGAATTTGGAAACAAGATGGATTATCTCGGTCTTTGATTCGTTCAGTAGAAGATTGTTAGCTACAGCCCAAGATTGAACATCAAGAATACAAGAGGACAACTTGGTTACTGCAAGCGATCTGTCAGATGATTTGAACTTGTAGTATAACTGTACATCATCTGCATAAAGCATGACCCTGAATCCATGAGCTTTGATAAGTGGTGAATATGACAAACAACAGTGGTCCTAAGACCGAACCCTGCGGGACTCCAAAGTCTTGTTTCCTTTCATGAGATGACACACCCTGAATAACAACTGAATATTTTCGTTCGGTCAGGTATGATTTGAACCAGTTATAGGCGCTTCAACGAACCCCAAACTGGAGCTTAAGACGTTTAAAAAGTTTAAAATGATCTATTGTATCGAATGCAGATGAAAAATCTAGTAAAGCAAGAAGAACCTCATCTCGCTTATCATGAACTGACATGACATCCTCTTTTACCCTCAGTAGAGCTGTTTCAACACTATGGCCAGGGCGATAGGCAGATTGCGTCTCAGCTAAGAGGTTGTGTTGGTAGAGATGAGCTTGAAGCTGAAAGGCAACAACTCTCTCTAGAAGCTTGGCCAAAAAACTAATAGATTAAGAAATTCATTCACTAACGTTAATCGTATTGGTTTAAAAGTTAGCAATCTGTTTCTCAGTGATGTTGGTCGGTCATTCCATTGTCTGTCTGTCAGTCGGTCGGTTATTTTTGCAGCCCCATTGCATTAAATAATAGATTTTAAAACAGGAAACATCTTATTTTGATCTTGTTATTCACCGTATATATAACTCCTTTGATATATAACCGTTCCAGTTATATCAAATCTTCCTTTCTTTTGGCGTTTGCTGCTATCAGGACACAGTGGAGATGTATGTACACAAGAAGATGTAGAAGACAAATAGCATTTACAAAAATAACATTTATTCAATGAATATCCTAATTTCGTGTTATCTGACCCTACTATGCAAAATCATATGGCATCAGCATGTTCATTAGCCTAGGTTCCAGGCCCTAATTTTGGATTACTCGCTCTTTAAGTTTATTGTGCTTATTGCGCTCCATACCTAATTTATTTGGATTTTTTTGGTTGATTATTCTGTCTCAAAATTAACTTGCGTGTTGGTGGCGCTGTTCTGAATGAGAAAAAAATAATAATAAGGGACTTGTGTTCATTAGAGAATACAGTAACATGATCTATTAAATGCAAAAATTCTATAATATTGGTTACATTACAAGTTAAATGAATTCAGATTATTTATCTTGTGTTTTTCGAGTTGGCTATCTTGATTTATATCATATCATATTATATATATATATATATATATATATATATACACGCTGATTTATATCTGTCTCTTATACACATCTAGATGTGTATAAGAGACAGTGTTTATACTATGACGATTTTACCGTTTTTTCATGACTATTATGTTATTTGATTAGATTTGTGAAAATATTTGTATCAAGTTACCGTATACTTTATATAAAACATAAGTAACATACTATATAGAAAAAATTAAATATGATAATAGAAGGCCTCTTTTAAGTAGAACTATATAAAAAAAAAAAAAAAATAATAAAAT